ATTTCGGGACGGTTTATACAACACATTTATGATGGTGATTTTGGAAGTGATTTATTGTTGGGTTTACCATTTGAAGGTTTTAGTTCTTGAAGGGTCAAGGTGACTAGGAAGGCATAAACCAATGCGTGAGGCAGCGCATATAGTTATGCACACATATGTGCATAATATGCATGCACACTTTTGCACGCAATGTGACAACCGTGGGGCAGCTTTTTGCTTATCTCCGAACGCATGTTCCATGGCTCAGCACCTTTGGGTCCAGCAGTTTAGCAAAAGTGATGTTTTTGTGGAAAGCGCCATTGAAAAACAAATCGTGCCAAGATAGGCTCTGAGGTATGCAATGGTATGGCCCCCAAAATGATTCGAATGCCCTGGGCCCTGGGCCAACAGTAAGAGCCACCTTCCCGGAGGACGGACGTGTTTGACCCCTACCAGTACCAATGCCACGCAAGTGCCTCAGGATGGCTGTTGGACCATGTTGGACCCATGGTCAGATTCGTCAGGTGGTCAGCCCATTTGGATCTGGCCTTTATTCTTCCAGGTTTGGATTTACAATCCAACAAATCCACAGGGAAAATACAGAAATTGAAAGAGAGAGAGGGAGAGAGAGAGATAATAATACCATAGGTAGGAGTTGGTTGGCAGAATGCTCTCTTCCATGTTGGTTTTGTTACAACTTGAGCTTCATGTGGAGCTTGCTGCACCAACTCTGCGCTTGATTAACCGGACAACTCTTTGGGGAGAATCGATAAGTGCTTCTTCTGCTCGTAGATGGTTCATGAAATATCATGAAATCCTCTTGTTCCACATCCGGCCGATTTCAGGCCAGAGCCTTTGTACAGCAGCTCGGCCGTAGGGCTGCAGCGATTTCGAGGAAGTAATTCAAAATGGCCCCAACCTGCTGATTAGTTGACAACCTCACATGGTTTCCTTGGCTCAAAGTTGTAATGTGTTGCGATGCTGGTGGTTCCTCAAACCTCTTGCGCAGCAGGGTGGTCCTTGGGGCATGGATGTGAGTCTAATGGGCCCTGCCATCATCCAATATCCTCCAGCCACAGCTGTCAAATTGAGACAAACAGTCGAGTTTTGGTGCATTTCTCGGCCCACTGAGTCGACTCAGAGTGGCTATCCATCCATCTCCATGAAAACATTTGATCTCCGGCACCAGATCGGGATCAAACTCCCGGGGCGGCGAGGAAGCCAAGGTCACGGGATCCCCACGCGCTATGCGCGCGCCGCACTTCCTCAGGGATGCACAGGACTTGCCGCTGACCACGAGAAAAAGGAGTCTGAAAGGTCTGGTGACACTCACCATTGAAATTATTCGAAATGAATACGCATTTAGTATTTCTATTTATGTTTTGTACTTTAATAAATGTGCGCGCATGTGTAGTTCAATACAATGCATACAACGTAATGCAATTTGATTTTATGATGTGTTACCCACGCAGGTACATACATAGGTTTTTACAACTTGGTGACGATATACCGCAACAACACACACGCACACACACACACACATATACATAAATATATATATATGTGTGTGTGTGTGCGTGTATACTCCTGTGCGTGTAATTTCTGCCTCGAAGTGAATGTAGAAGTCAGGATCGGTCTGCTAAATCAATTGGCATCTCAAACATCTTTCGATGTTTTGCAGTCAGAAGATGTTAAACTGTGGGTAGTCAGCACTCGTGAAACAATGAATAGCTTCATGGCGGCGAAAGAATGAACCCTGAGGAATGCAATGCCGCAATGCTTCTTAATACTGCAGAGCTCTGGCTGTACAGACGTGGAAGGGCACTGAAGTTGCAAGGCCCCTTGCGAGGTTTCAACATTTTCAATTGTTTTACATCACCAGCCCAAGCATTGCTTCCTCGCAGGGTGGCACTGACAAGTAGGACCACGCCTCCATTTCCCAGACTGGCTGTGCTTTTTATTCAGTTGTTTAACTTTATGTCCTGATGATTCAATCAACCTCAATCTCATGCGCAAAGAAGATGCTTTTTGCATGCTGACATTTGGCATAAGGAGATACTGTCAACTTGCCTATCTTCAGCACAACTGTCACAACTCTCCCTCTGAGTGAGGAAGGCTGCACCTCTGTTGCACAAGGCAACGCCATGGGCAGTACAAGCTGCGACACCACCGACTGTGTTCGTCGTTGCGTTCTATCGCTCGATTGGAGGCGGACACCCTGCTGCCCTCTGAACGAGTTGGAGAGGGGGCCGCCTGGGCCGCCTCCGCGACACAAGTGAAATGGAATTGAACCGATAGAACCCCAACGGGCAAACTTCCAAAGTGTGGGGGCTAATCGTGCACCACTGACACACTGGTATCTTGCCATCCAGATGCTTCAATGATGTTTCCATTTTCCAATTAACTTGCCCAAAGGGTGCCAAGTAGACTGTGTCACACCTCCGAGTCTGCGCAAGCTGCTCAGAGCACTATTATGTTGCTAAGGCCATGAACATGTGAATTTGCAGTGTCTCCAAACCCCGCGTTTCATCTGCATATGTGAACATGCTTTGTGCATCTTTGTGCGTCTGCCAGCCAAGACATAGGTTTCATGCCGTGATGCTGTCATGGATCTGGGTAAGGAATTGACTAGTACGTAGACTAGAGGGTCCGATTCACTTATCTTTCCATGTTTTTTGGTTGTATTCCCACTTCTTGATGCTTCTTGCTGCTGATAGACAGAGCCAGGGAGGTTGAGAGAGAGGGGAACAAATCCAAGTGTGGTTAGTTACGGCCTCCTTTCTTGTAAGGCCCGGGCAGTAGTGCCAGACCGGAATCGAATCACAGTCACCTCAGGATCCGTGCGTTTTCCCATGGCAAGGTGTGCCAGGCCATGCCGGGCCGGAGTAGTGAAGCCTGGCATATTGCACGGTTCATCTCTTTTTGAAAGGTTTTTTTCCAACTGCTGTTCTCCCAGTGCAGGGAAACAGCCGGATAAAATCTCTGCTGGCAGAAGTCTACCAGGGATGCGCTTGCACTTGGTTTCCCCAGTGATAGATAAACACATGTTACTCATGTTATATAACATTGTTGGTTCTAAATCTTGGGTGCTACAGCCATTACCGTTATTGACTGTTCTTTTTAAGTTGTTCCTGATTTTCTCTCTTAGTTGTCCTCTATATCACCAGTTTTTTTGCACTTTCTGATGGTCTTTGCTTGGATATGGTGGCGCTGTTCCGTGGGGACCTATGCAAGTACTGCCTGGCGCCCAGGCTTAGATCTGGCCAGGCTTAGATCGGCATCCTCCAAGGCTCCCTGCCTCTGCAAAGCCCACCGAAATGGCTGCAGATGAATGCACTGCCACAACTCTTCGTCCTGACATACGCCACTCTCATATGTATACAACGCTGGTTCACGAGCCATGGCAAGCAAAGAATATGCACTGGCTCTCAGGCAAAATGACCATTGTTACACCATGATTCTCATATAAGAATCTAATTCTACCATGTCTACCCACTTTCAGCAGGTTAGTCCACACAACTTTTGGTGCAAGCCTTTGCCTGTGACAACAAAATGGAATAGAAGTAGAAGGTTCAAAAAAAACATTGCTGGACTCCAACAATATAAAATAATATAAATACGTAGGTGGTCGATAGACAGATTAGATTAGGTCAGGTCAGCTTAGATTAGAATAGAATAGATTAGATAGACAGATAAATAGACAGATAGATAGATAGATAGATAGGTAAGTAGACAGGTAGGCAGAGAGATAAAGAGCGAGAGAGAGAGAGATATATATATATAATATATTTTATTTATATATTTATTTATATATATATATTTATGCGTACATATATGCACATACATATATATATATATATACATGTGTGTGTGGTTATTTGTTTTTTAGAGATGTGCAGGTAGATACGGATATAGTATGATATAGGCATATTGTTATGCATTCTAGTATGTGCATGCACACATATATATATATATATATGTATATAGTGCCCATGTCGGTAAATGGATAAGCAGCACGATTGCCGCGTGCCCGATTAAAAATGTAGACTTTCATATTCCCAAAGAATTGGTTGTTTGTGTGTGCTATCCTGTGGCGTTTTGGCTGCAACTCTACAAATCCATGCTTTTTGTCTGCATGCACCAAGATACATCGACGATTCCTTTTTTCCGAGCGGACAACAGAGAAGTGGCTGCAAACGCTTGTTCCAGAGATGCTCAGGGAAAACGCACGGACCAGGAGGGCGCCATGGAAGGCTAAATTGAGCTGCTGCGCAGCGGGGTTCGGCTGGTCGACAACCCTAAGCAGGGTGGTGTGATTTGCTCAATGCACAAGATGCAGTGCTTTGCAATGTGTTTCTCTTTGCATCCTGTCAGCCTTGTTATTCATGTGCAAACTAGACCACAGCTATTTTTGGCACACGGCTGCAAAGAACGATCAGGGTTCAGATTGGGGTACGCAGTCCTGGCTCTTCTCCTTGACCAAAGACTAGGCCGTATCTTGCTGTTCCCACATTGTTCATCCATGTCAATGTCCTTTCCAAACGATATCAACTATTCATTTCTCAATAAACTGTTTTGCGGGCTGGATTGCGGCACGACTTGGTGGCATTGAACAATTCCGATGGGGTGTGTTCTTTGGTCAGAACCGGAGGGACTTCCTCTCTGGCGTTATTTCTGATTCATTGGTTGCAAAAGATCATAGACGCATGTAGTGTATTTGAAAGATGATGAGCAATGAAATTTGGACGACTCCCGGCTTTGCAGTTGCAGCTGTTGGATTCTTTCAAGGGTGCAGGATCAGCGTCACTCCAAGCCTCTCTTTGACTGCATCTCTTTGATTGCATCACAACTATCTCCGTGAGCACGGACAGTAGCTGGGACGGAAAGCAAATGGTGAGAAGCCATGAGAAGCCGACATCCCAAGCCTGTTTCATGATTGGTTGGTGCATCTTTCTAGCGTGAGCCTGCCACGCGGCAGCAACACAACAAGAGAACGTAAACCAGTCTCATCGCGTGAAGCCATGACAACTCGACACCAGGCAGCTCAACTCGCTGTGATCATGCGGAATGTGGCCGTGTTTCAGTGAAAGAGCGCGGTGGCATGTGTGACAATAAGTAAACACGCATAGTGCTATTCATCTTGCAGCTTGACCCTTGGGTACTTACCTGTATGAGGCCCGCCTTCCATGCTGCTTGGCCTTGCTATTCGTGCCATGGCTACTCCAGCTAGGCTCCGGGGTCCATGACAAAGGTTAGGACATGCGTTTGGTTTCCCAGGTGAGCAGTTAGTTGCTGCCCAAGCTTCCCCCCACACGGGAAAAACCAAGGATGATTTTGCGGGTCAATCTTAACTGGCGTCACATTTCCTTCCAGTTTCTTCAGACCTTTCAGGTGTTCATAGGCAAAATTTGGGCCTGGTTGCTCGGAACTGTTCCTTTCTAGCAGCCAAGATGTTTGTTGGCACCATTTGCTCTTCAAGAACTGGTCAAGCAAAACTTGATGTTGCGCACAGCTGCCCCTTTTTATCGTTTTGCAGCAGGAAGCTCTGCACAGGAGGCCTTCTTGGGTTTGAGACAGCCCACGTCGCGGCCCAAGGCGCGGGAAACTCCATGAAGTATCATTTGTGAGTGGGGCATACCAAATATCCAAACGGTACGGCCATTACCATTACTGGGAAAATGGTGAACAGCGGATTTTGGGTTACTCTTTGCCAAATTTTTGCACATCCAAAAGCTGCTCAAAATCGGCATCCGCAACATTTCTTTGGGCCTGCCAGGCCTCCTTACATGCACTGGTAGGTGATGATGGTGGGAGCCCGAGATCTCCGCGCAGGATTTAAAGAATTCATCAGTGGACAGGAATTCAATATATATATATATATATACACGATGACAGGGCCTGGTAGGTTCCATGCATTGCTGTAAAGGCCAAGCCACTTTTCCCAGAACATTCCCTTTCAACACTTGGCTCGTTCTCTGAGGCACCACCTTCGAGAGGTTTGAAAAGGATCCGAGTGACAAGAAGGTCCGGGGCGAGAGGAAGGCCGGAAGCAGGGGAAGGATACCTGAGATTCCATAAGCCAACTGTCCTTTTCGTAGATTTTGGCTCCAAGTTCGAGGGTGTTTTCGCAGTTTTCAGACAAATCCAGATCACATCATGCAACATACATTTTCTGGAAGTTCGCGAGCTTTGCTGGCAAGGCATCAGGTAGCTCTGGCAAGAAAACAGATTTAGTTTGCACCCTGGTGTTTGGCAGAATGGAAAACTGATCAATACCTCTGGAAGTTTGCACCGGTCAGTGTGCCGCATGTCAAGGAGCCAGTGGATGACACCTGGTATGTGCTAGCCTGAGCTCATGACCTGACAAACTGCACAGTATTGGCACAGATAGATGCACTTTCATCATTTCATCGTCGGTCCCGACACACTAGGAGGGCTCCATTAAAAGCTACAGCACTCAAGACGGCCGAGGGCTTGTTAGCGGAGAGGTCGATTTCCAAATAGGTTTTGCACCTCCATTTTCAGGCTAAGTGTCCTCAGTGGGCATCTTGTGTTCCCGCATTTTGGACCCTCGATGAAGCAGAAATAAATGCCGGGAGTAGCGCTATCATTCCGCCCAAAATCATCTGGGATAAAGTTTCAAAGCTTGGACAGCTTACGCCAAAGGAAAAGATTATGAAAGCAGCACATCAGGATCATCAGCCAACGGCTGCGTTTCAGGCTTTGGATTCATCCATTGCGACGAGCTGTTCAACAAGCACCAGGTCTTCGGTGGGCCCAGCGTCATGCAGAGCTGGATCTGCGTCCTTTGATCCTCCATGCCAGGCAGATGTGTTCCTCCACAAGAGACAGGCGAGTTGCTTGAGCTGACATAAATATCCAGGCTTCATGGCAGGCGAATTGCTGGTGTTTAGCCATGTTTCAGGATGTATCCGGACACCTTTCTTGTGAGGCAATAGAGCTGGATTTCAAAAAGCGAGAGATTGTTCGTTCACGGCCATCAGTAGGTTTGAATGACGCTTGGAGTTGCAAAGGTTGCTCCAAATCATATCCATTGTAAGACTGGAACATGGCTTTCAGGTGGATACACACCTTGGGTTTGGCACTTGGTTGATTGCAGAGAAATTTCTTTGGTGCTCTTTCCGGCATCAAACATGCCATCCTGAAACGCAGATCGGTCAATTCAACTACGGTCAGTGAAATTCAAACCAGACCATTTTCCAGGCCCATCCTAAAATTGATCCCTCCATGTGACAAAGCTGGTGAAGACTCTGAGGAGTAGGGCAACGCGCGGTTGGTCGCCCAGTTGGCTCTGCCGGGGCTTGGTGCTTTTGCTCACTGCGGTCCTGCGGTGCAAATGTTGTCTTGGAGAAACACCCCACTGAGGCGATCAAGTGCGATTCCTACTGGGTGTGAACCAGGCATCGTAGTTCCGTTGGCCCTTATTCCAGCTTGTTGGACAGCTGATCAAAGGAAGTTCAGTTGGCAAACTTCCGAGTTGAGGACACGCCAATTCAACCAAACCGGTAGCATCATTGTAGTTTGGACGTTGGCAGGGGAGGGGGTGGAAGGATTTGATCACGGTAATATCCATTTATAGATAAAAAAGAATGATAAAAAGCAATTTGCCCGAAAGACGGTGTTTTTTGCAGGTTTTGTGGCTTGAGCGGTCGCCAAATCATTAGGGGCATGTCAGCAACTGCTCGCCTTTTTCAATCTTTGTTGCTTGTAAAGCCGCGTGACTTTGAGGCCGGCAAGCCCCAAGCACGGAATGCCGGTTTCCCCAGCTTAGCGATGGATGTGAAGAGCTGAAGCTCATAGGCGTCATGAATGGTTGTTTTGTGAGATATCAGGTGGAAAGACGCGTCGGTTCGCTTGGCACTCAAGCACACTTTATTTGAAAACCTGTGGATCTAGTTGTAGGATGCTGCCATATGTCACAAACATCTCGGCGGGGTGGCAACGCTTGCGGTTGTCGATAATTTGGAATCAAACGCGCTTGGGGCCACAGTGCCGTAATCATTTCATGTTAGAATTGCACCTTGACAATCCCGGGGATTTTGAAGACCCATTGTATCATTCCATTGGGTTGTACAGGGCAAAGCTTCTTCACGGCGTTTTTTCCGTCTCATTTCTGCAGTCGCCTGTGCAAAGCAGGAAGTATGTGTGTATGCGCAAGAAACGATATCTCTAGCGTTTAAGGAAGTATGTATGCATGTGCAGGAGAAGATGTCTCTAGCGAAGAAGGAAGTATGTGTTCATGTACAAGAGAAGATGTTTCTAGCGTAGCCGGAAGCATATGTGCATGTGCAAGAGGACATGTCCCTAGCGTAGCAGGAAGTATGTGTATATGTACAAGACGAGAATAGAAAAGATGTCTCTAGCGCAGCATCAAGTATGTGCGGGAAGCACGTGTGTAAACGCAAGAGAAAATGTGTCTAGCGTAGCGGGAAGTATGTGTGTATGTGCAAGAGAAGATGTCTCGACTAGTAGCGTTTCAGCTATACTATACACAAATATATATGTATATTATATGTATTATATATATATATATTTTATATATATTATATATATATATATTATATACATATATATATTATATACATATATATCGCATATATATATAGCATATATTTACCCTGAAGATCGAGGTGTCTAGAATCCCCCCCGGGGGTGCCGTTGAGGGTTCTAAAATCATACCCACTATGATTTTAGAATTCTGAAAGGCTATCAAATTAGAACCCTGAAAGTTTGGATATATGAGCCTTGTTGTGGTATAAATTGGTTCCAACAGACCACAAGAAATAGGTCATTGATTTGGAGTGCAGAAAAAGGAACCAAGTCGCGATGAGGTATCTGCACAAAGGTGCAAAACATGTTTGGAATTAGCATCCCTGGTTTTGGCCGATCAAGATTTCCATTTTATTTTCAATACCAGGTGATTTCAACGTCGCTTGGTTTAATTCCTTTGATAAAAAGGAGGCACAACGGTGGCGAGCAGCTGCAGCAATGGTGCAAACAACGTCTTGAACTATGTCCGGCAACATCCGCAATTGAAATAACACGAGCCTCACCATTACCTCCAACCTCCCATACAATGCCAATTTTGTTTGGACAGCACAAATGCCATGTCAAGTTGTGATGAGCAACCTGCAGTGATGCGCATCCTTGTTTCCACCCAACACCTCCATTCTTTAGATACCAGCACTTTGGTTCAACCAAGCCGGTTGGAAAAAAGGAACGGGTCTATCGTCATCTTCCCCAGGTCAATGCGCGTCAAAATTATTTTTAAGCCTGAAGGCAACCATTCTAGACCCCCAGGTGGCTGACTAATGGCCAGCTATAAGCAAACTTAGCCGCTTAGCCATCCTTTGACATCCCTTCTACATTCTACATCCTTCTGAGCATTCTTTAGGTACCAACACTTTTGGTTCAACCAAACCGCTTCGAAAGAAGGATGCGGGTCTATAATCATCCTCTCCAGGTCAATGCGTGTCAAAGCGCGTTTTAAGCCCGAAGGCAACCATTCTAGACCCCCAGGTGCTGACTAATGGCCAGCTATAAGCAAACTTAGCCGCTTAGCAATCCTTCGGCATCCCTTCTGCATTCTTACATCCTTCTGCGCATTCTTTAGCTACCAACACTTTTGGTTCAACCAAACCGCTTGGAAAGAAGGACGCGGGTCTATAATAATCTTCCCCTGTGTTTTTTGAAAGGAGACCATTCTAGAACCCAGATTTCAGGTTCTAATTTGAAGGACAAGGGGGCTTATTTGATCATGAGGGTTTTGTATATATATATATGTATAAATAGCATATAATTATAATATATATATATACATATACATTTATTCATTTATTTGTTCATAGCATGTATGTATATATATATATATGTAATTATATATATGCATAATTAAATATATATGTGTGCGTGTATGTACGTATGTATCCCTGTGTGTGTCCATGTGAGACTAGCGCACATTTTTTCGAATGCAGAAAACCCCGGCATGCCACAGCAATGTCCAGCCCCCCCGGCCTTTGGCCGGAAGGCAACAGGACCTCAATCCCAGCCACTTCAGGCATTGGGTCGACTTCAGCAAGGTGTATGCAAAGACACCCAGCCGGACAATGCAATAGGAACGCTCGTTTCAGATAATTTTTGATACTAGTAGCAAATGTTCATAGAAGTTCTGCACGTGTTGGTGTTTGCACCATTAGCCTCCAAAGACGGGCTTTTAATATCCTTTAATACTGTGCTGCTTTCACGGCATCTAGCTGAAGCCAAGGTGGGAAGTGTCAAAGACTATCGGGAGGAGAAAGGTTTTGGTTTCATCGCTTGCCCGCCATGGTTGCAAGCGGGGATCAAGATGTTGAAGTTTTGAGATCTGCAGCGTGCAAGTTCCCTTAAGTAGTGTTTCTGAGGTTTTTTCTTTTAAATTGCGTAAGGATTTTCAATCAGAAGCCTTCCAGTTGACCATTAGAGAGGCAATAGAATGTGATATATCCCTGCATATATATATATATATATGCATATGTTTGTGCGTGCTGTGATCGATCCAGCAGAGCAAATCCCACTAGGTTTGCCCCGAGACTCACTACATTTTCCAAAGTTTGGAACCCAGAAAATTGATTTGGTCTTGATCAGCCGCTGATCCCAGCGCCGTGATTGAGGCGACATCTTCCTCCACAAGAACGAGGTAGAAAAGAATAACCTATCCAAAGGCAACAGGGTGACCTTCTCCATTCAGGTGCGCAATCTTATGCGAGGTTTGGCCTTCAGGAGCAGGCCCAGTAAAGGAAGTTCTGACTGGAGCTCTTTGGGGGAGGTATTCACGGGAGATTTGCTCTGCCATCACGGCGATGTTTCAACCTAATCTTCTTCCCTGGGCGTCATAAGTGAGCTGATCTCATGGGCGCACGAGACTGGAACAAACATAGTCCTGAATTTGAAGGGAGTTTGTCAAGCTATCAACACTAATTACCCCGCTTCCCGCCGCCCTACTTGGCTGCTGTCATTTGATCCCACAACGTTGCAGATGCAGAGCCAGGTTAACAAGAATAACCGTCCTCAAGCTAGAAGTGTTGGAGACCCAGCGGGCGCTACCATCAGATGAGGCCCGTGGTATGAGCTGCGTGGCTTGGGAGGAGGATTCGGAAACCGACCAGAAAAAGCTTGAAAGATTGAACACCTCAGGTCGAACGGCTGGTACCAACGTCCTTCTCAGGCGCTGACTCTGTGAACCAAACGCTTTCAATTCTTGTTTGTAAAACATGTCCATACATCCATTATATTGGCAGTTATGGATAGATGAATATATATATATATATATGTATGTATGTATATATATATATATATGTGTGCAACTATATTTATGTATATGTTGCAGTTACATACCTATATACACATATCTCTCTGTGTAAGTGCGTGGGCACTTTTGGCTATCCTCTTTTTCGGATGTTCGGGAAAGCCCCAGGGCTTTGATGCATATTTAGAACTTATGTAATTGCATGCATGCCTGTGACGGTGGCACATTCCAAGTTTTGCAACTCAGCACTTGCCAGCGCATGACATGTCAATTAAATGACCAGAACGGCAGCTGCTTGCCATCATCATGATGGTCATGGTCATCGTCATCGTCACCATTGCCATCGCCATCACCATCATCACCACCACCGCCGTCATCGTCGTCGTCATCGTCGTCATCATCATCATCATCATTGCTACCATCATCATCATCATCATCATCATCATCATCATCATCATGCCACTGCCTTTTCACAGCCGGATCATGATCCGTGCTCATTACATTGAGGTGGCATGGCATTCACAGTGTATGTTCCGTCATGTTTTTTATCTGTCTCAATACAAGGGGTGAGCGCGCGCAAGCGTAAGTTATATGCCTTACACAGACTTGTGCATGCGCAGTACTGACTACTGTATATGCGCACAGGTATTTACAAGCATGTGATATATATTTGTAGGGAATGTCTTTGAAAGCCCCAAGGAGAAAGGAGCGAGGAGGAGACAGAGATGATGGCGGGCTAAAAATTGATGGCTGAGACGGCAAAGTGAAACGCAGCAACCTCAAAGCTTGCTTTTGTTTAATGATATGTATTATATTTTCTGGGGGTCTTTGCTTTCCAACTGTCCAAGATTGACTTGTGGTACCTGCAGTTTGATTTGGAGCTATGGGATGACCTCGCTGGGAATCATCAGGCAGTGGATGCTTGAAGGGCGTGAAAAAGGCATTTTGTGAGCGCAACTTGGTTAGAATATAGTTATAGTTTATACCAGCTGCAGTTTTTCTCTGGAATCCGCCATACGGTGGGATTTTGCGCGGCGCCAGCCGCAGCTGATTGAAATTTTCGGGCATTCGGATGTCCAAGCCCTCGTGGGAGAGCAAAAGATATTGCTGAGTGGAGCCAGAGTCGCGCGAAGAACATGCTCAGTTTCGCATGAGCTAAACCGATTGGGGCATGGGTAAGCGTTTGCATGCGGGCGCCAGTGGATGAAATTTGACGCGTGCCGCCTCCAACACGGACCAACTCATGCAAACGTCCTCTGCATGTGGGGTCGACCATCAGGGTCAAGCAGCAAGCCCGTCCATGGCTCCAAGCTCCCTAAAATACAGCCGCAGAATAGTCACTTGTTCAACGAAAAAAGGCAACATACAGATATGGGTTGAAGTTTGGACGGTGGCAATGACCCAAATGAACATCCAAGATGCTCCTGCTTGTAAGACAGCAGCAAATGCCCTGGGCTACCAGCTGTTTCATGCATCCTCTCATCCTGCGGGCTGTGTTCCACAATGGCCTGGACCCCATTACCTCGTCCAGATGAACGTTTCAGGACGAGGCCAAAGGCTGTCAGCAAGCAACCTGCCTGCAGCAAGTTGACTTTAGCAAGCGTATGTCATTTGCTTCATTGGCTTGACTTCCTGGTTGTCTGGTCTGAAACATCAGTACCAAACGCTGTTTAGAATAATCCGCTGCTTCCTGGAAAAATTAATCTGGGAGCCTGAGATGGCGAGTTCGGCACCTTCTGGCCAAGGAGCCCTGGCGTGCTGGATACGTGGACACCAAAGCCAAAGGTGAAAATCGCCCCTGCGGTGCTGGAAGCCTTGCCCGACCCGCCAGCGGCAGCTCTTCCAGCTCCTTTGCGAATTTGGGCATATGAGCTGAGTTTGCAAGGGATAGTTAGATATTTGATGTTATTTCATGTGCTTTCCAGGCTCCTGCTAGTAAAGGCATTTGAGATCATTTAAGTATATTTAAGCTCACGTGTTTTTTCCCTCGTGCAGCTTCGCTTGGCCCAGAGCGCCTGAAGTCTAAGTGCAGCTCAGTGCAGGTCTCCAGTGCATCGGCCAGACTTCGAGCAGCATTGGAATATGAAGATGCAGAGGCTGCGGAGGTGAAAAGCTTCCTGAGCCTCAGCTGATGGAGTTGATCAGGGATCACGATTGACAGGTGGGCCAGGGTGAGTGGTCACCAGTGATACCTAACAGTATTTGAAGAGAACGGCTGCGACAGCTGTGACCAAGGACCTCTCTAAGGGATCACAAAAGGTAGCTAGGCTGAAGCCGCCCGGTTTCTCATGTAGTTTAGCTCCTCCGATGTATACGGGTGCATTGAGGAGGGCGAATGGTTTTCATCAATATGTCGCAGCGTTCATGGAAAACGGCTTCGACTGCATGGAAGTGGTCGAGGAGCAGCCGGGAGTCTGAGACTCTTAGTGTTTGCCGGCCTTGGACAAAGCATGTCGCAAGTGAGACGCACAGGAGATGGAGGAGAGGCACATGAAGGACCTGGGAATGAAGCCAGGTCACATCATCAAGCTAAAGTTGAACCCTGGCAGCAACAATCTGTGGGTCATGCTAATCTGGCACTATACTTGGACCGATTTGGCACCAGACGAAAGGTAACTGATTTGTCACGAAAGGTAGCCTAGGCTACCTGAGTTCTATGTACTTTAGTACTAGTTTAGTACTGGGGGAGGTGGTTGGCCCTTTCCCGGAAATTGAGAGCTGAAAGTAAGGAATCTCCACTTAGGGCGGGGGGGGGGCCTCCCCCCCCATTCGATTCCCCCTGGTCCGCAGCCAAAAAGCGCATGTCATTGGAGATTGGTGATATTGGATATCTGTATATTTTTCGCTGCTTTGCAGCTGTCTACGTGCTCATCCCCATCGACTCTATATACTCGCCACCACATGCCGCATTCCTTTAGCATGAGCGTTGCATCCTTGAGGGATTACACCTCTACACACAAAGTGCCTCAACCGAGCATCCATCGGTTGAAGCACTTTAGCCCCATCTCGTGCATGTATCTTGTCAGCAAACTCAGCACCTCGATCTTGCATTAGTTCTTGTAATACTGACCGTGATTTTATTCTTCTTGTTATTCTTCTCCTCGTTTAATTTCTCTCTCTTCCTGTCCCTCCTGTATTTGCCCCACCTACCTTTCGTCCCCCCCTCTCAAGTCAGAGTCATTCAAGGTCCAGCACGCCTCCGAATAACTACAAAGACTCATGACGCCAAACCACCCCAAATATGTAAAGCAAGCGGCTGTGAATAATTTGAAATGAGTTGAACCTATTTGCCGCGCAGACTTGATTTAGTTGATTCCGAGCCACACTTGGTTTGATTCTGGCACCAAGCGGAGTTGACATCAGCTTGCCATCTTCACCTTATTTCCCAATCCCGTCCCTACACGCTCAACTGCTTTATTTTGTGAGGAGGCTGGCATCGTCTCGGGGGGAGGCTCCAAGCAGTGCTGGCGGCTCGGGCCCAGGTAGCTGTCCCACCTAATCTGTGTTGTGATGGTGACAATTGCGAGCTTTGAAGTCGACGCTTTTTCTCCCACATATCTTTGTCTTGTCAATTTCGTGTTGAATTTGCAATTGATAGGTCAAGAACAGCTTGTGCTTGCAGTGTCGACTTTGTAGAGCAACCGGCACTTCTTTGGATTTGCTCCAAGGTACCCCGCCGCGGCAGTCTCTGATCCCGGAGGTTGGGCATCAATGGCTGATGCCAAAGCTGCGTCGTTAAAGATGTTTCTGACGTCAAGGCGTAAACGAAGGCTTCACGGGCAATTCATCAAGATGGCTAACACATGATATTTCTTGACTCATGGTGCTTCCGCATTTAAGATGTGCGCGATACTGTCGGTTATTCTTGGTTCATTGATTTGCAGGTGGGTGCAGCTGCTTCACCGCTTGTATTGCCATTGCCTGCCACGAAGCCAGCTGCTGCCACCAGTGCAGCATCTAGCCCAGGCACCCCCCAGTGTTCGAACATGTTTGCAATATCTGCAACACCATGCAATAGAAGTAGAGCCCGGGCAAGCCGGGTGACGGAAGTTTCGAGAGAGGGAAGAACCTTTAAAGACAAGGGAGAGCCTATAGGAACAACGCCTGACAGCATGGCTGGCACGGCCGTCGACTGCGTGATCTCTTGGAAGCCTTTGTCCCTGACATTTCTTGCTCTCAACATCTTTGTCTAATGCTGCCACTTTCTCTTGATCCGGCTTGCTCCGGACATTTCTGAATCTTGACAGCCCTTCTTGTCGACAGCTCTGGAGCCAGAGACTTGACACACCCTTCTCTCCTGACAAGCTTTTTCTGATGTCATCGCTGTTTCTTGAAACCGATGTCGTTTCAGCCGCTTTCCGTTGACGTCTCTTTCTCTTGGCATGCTTCTCTTTGAGCATTTCTTTTGCTTGAGACCTGCTTCTCTTTTGATCTGGCTTGAGCTTGTCATCTTTGAATCTTGACAGCGTTTTTCTTGTTGACAGCTTTCTTCAGTTCCCTATTCTTTTCAGTTCCTAACAATCCCTGCTGTCTCCAGCAACTTATTGAGTTTTCCAGTGTTTGTTCCAGCATGGGTCCACGATTGTTCTTTATTCCCCTCGTTTCCACCGATTTCTAGCGTTTTAGCCGCATTTCCATTGACGAAACAATAGCATCAGTATCATCAATATCATCAATATCTAGGGTCTAAACTATTTCGTGCTCCTGTGTTTTCCAACAAATGCTTTTGGTAGGCATTCGAATCATTTGAATAAGCATAAAGCAGGCGGCTGCTGCACTTGGAGTTAAATGATGCCAACACACTTTCACTAGCAATCGGACTGAAATGCTTGATTTGTGCCAAGTTTCATTGGAAGATTGTTTGGTCATAGATCATCGCTGTAAAGTTTGTTGTTTTTATTTTTTCCAAGTTGAGACCAGATTTAAGATCATCAGCGGCTCCTCGGGGACTAAAGCGTTTCCTTGACGCTCGGAACTTCCTGCTTCAACCCAGTTTTGCAATTTTGGAATACCTGAAGGAAAAAGTGTTCAAAACACACTTACGTGCGGGCAAACCGTATGGATGCAAAAAAACATGAAAACCGTAAAAAAGATGCTGGTTCGGGGTCAAATTTCAAAACATCTAAAGATGATATTTTTTGCACGCCCAGATTTGCACCAATAATTGGTAAACCCTGCCACCCTCACCGGCGCTGAGCAGTCACTGACCCTGCCAATATCCAATCAATCCAGTCATATCTATACACCATGTCTGTTGAAAGACGATAACAAATTTGAAGAGCTTGGCCATGGGCCATGGCCAGGCGCCTCCTTGCTCCATGGTCAGCTGGATGAAGAGGCAGAAGCGATTGCCTTCCAAGAAGCGGTCGCGGCCTGGAGAAACGCAGGTGGCTTGGCCCATTGGGGCGATGCATCAGTTGATAAAGTATCAAAGTCAATTTTTCCCCTGAAAAGATGCAGAAATGAGAAATTGAAGAAAACGGGGATGGAGGCATTAGAATCCGTACATTTTTTTTGCCGGGGAAGCATGGAAGATTTCCAAGAAAAAGGCTGCTGCGGGGGAAGATTGTGAAGGAAAGGACAAATTTGAACAGAAGATTGAGGACCTAGATTTGTTTAGTCTGGTTTTGGGGGGTGAGAGGCGTTGAAATAATTGGTGGCTTCTGTTGGGCGCAAGTTCTGAGTCTCTGAGAAGCCGCTTTGCGTAGGGGACGTTTTCACACTGCAAGACGGAACCAGCAAGGCACATCCCGACGGCTCCCCATGCCGATCCATGAGAATATGTTAAACTAAGATAAATTAAGGCCAGCCAAAGATGACCAGAGATGAGCAGATCATGGAACAGCCTGGTAGAGCTGAGACCACCACTGCTCCTGGGCATGGATTGGCGTCAGCACCTCATGGAAGCAGAATGCCAAGAAGGTCAGCTGGTCCTCCTTCGCTCATGACATCTTTTGATTCCAGGTTCGTAGTGTTTCGGCGTGATGCAAAATAATCCCTGCCATGCCATTCAACAACCACCAACAAAATCCAACAAAAACTTAGGTGCCTTCAGCGCCAGCTGCCGTAAAGAAGTGCTGCTATCAATGCTTCAGAGCCTTGGGCGCTTGGGTACACCCGTCCCATCGCACAGATGCCACAGTTGCAACACGGCCTTTGCCGCACATGTTTCGGCCAGCGCGACTCTACCTACTACAATCCAGGGTTGTCTGCTCTCATTGGTTGTCTTCCCTCATTGGATATCTCAGCAACAACGCCGGACTTGGGTCAAAAAGATAGGCCCATGCCGTCCGGAACATGTCCTCAAGGGCGGATGGGCAAGGTGCCATTTGATCAACTTGCTTGGTGGTTGATGTTCTTCCTGGGCTCTGGACTTGGGCGACCTTGCATCTAAGGACAATATTTGGAGTCGCATCTTGGATGGCATTGGCTGGGCCCATCTCACGAAAGCCTCGTTCATATTTCTGCGGCGTGGATCCATGTGAGGCGCGAAGATGCCCAAAGTGGTCCCAGCTTCTGCTCGGAGAAATGTGCAGAACAACATGCAGATGGTCTCCGACGGAAGGTGCCGCGATGTGCAATTTAAAGCATCATTTATATAAAGGATTATTCCCCACACTTGTTTTTTAGGTGCTAGTCACTAGTCGTTGGAAAGCCCTCTGTTTTGGGGTTGCCTGTTTTTTTAGAACATGCCTTTTATTAAAAAGCATTTTATATTCTCTTTATTTCGGAAAGATCCACAGCACAACCTTCTGCAAGACCGTCCTTGACTGCATTCTTGTGACACGCTTTGTCCTGATAGCTGTATTGGAGCGGGACATCCACCTTGACTTAAAAGCTCGAAATAAGCTCACCCAAAAGCTTGGGATGGACATTCAAGTTGCTTATGTTCACACCAAGCAGTTCAAATGCCGTGCAAATTTGCACCATAGGAGCTCCTAACACAATACCTGCCTTTGGTCCACCTTGCCTGTGGTCCACCCACGCTCCATGACACATGCTTTGTCGATAAGACCATGCAATTTCAGGAAGAATTTAAGCAACAACAGTTAAACAAATTTAAAACCGATGAATAAAAGATCAATAAACAAGAGATAGCCAATAAACAATATATGCACAAAAACTAGACAAACTAGTATATTACATTATCTAGACCGCCTGGGCTGGCCAAAATTGATTCCATAAAATTGCAGAAAAATTGGAAGCGTTCGGCGTGCCGAAAACTCCGCATTTACGAAGCTACGATTGAACCAATGGTTCTTTACAGCTTATAATTCATTGAAATCTACCCTGCTCGAAAGAAAATATCTGATACAACTGGGCAAGGTTCTGCGATGTTGACCTGACCATCCTTTGCAACACACTTTCGCCGGGAGATTTTGTTGTAGCAATGCACCGTTGTGCGAGGGCCGTGGGTAGGCCTTGTAAAGACTGGATACATATCAGAATTTTGATTGCGGGCCGGTACTTTACTTTATTGGTAGTACGGAAAACCGCTGTGCAAACTGAAGATGAATGGCGCTAGTGGAATCTAAGATCCTCTATCCTTAAAAAAGTATGCATTTGAAAATTTGAAAGGTACACGGCCCTTATGGTTAGGGGCTGTGTCTTGGAATAGATTTATGGTATTCCCTTTATGGCCTATACTATAGATTTCGAATGTTTTTTTCCAGGGAAAGTATATAAATTTGCAATCGCCTGTCAAAGCATGTTAGCATTATAGTCATGATTGGATGATAATTCCTTTGTCCTTTATACCATTAGTACCGCACAAGGCGGTGGCGGAAGTTTCAGGGATAGGACACTATAGGAGAGGTGAGTTGTTGTGACGCATGGATGGCAGAGCGAATCCACTGATGGACCGAAAGGTGGTTGGAGTTGTGCTTTTTGGAGTGGTTGCAATGGTTGCAGTGGTCACCTCACTCACAACTCCTGGATGTAGTGTGGTGTAGTGCAGTAGTTGTAGTTGTAGTTGTATTGGGGTTGATGTTGTTGAAGTTGTAATGTTGTAGCTGTAGTTGTAGTTGTAGCGTAGTTGAAGCGCAGTTGAAGTTGTAATTGTCTTAATTTTAGTAATTGTAGCAGTTGCAATAATTGTAGGAGTTGTAGTTGTAGTTGTAACTGCAGTTGTAGTTGTAGTGGTAGTTGTAGTTTGTAGTGTAGTCCCGTGGTAATTGTTGTAGTAGTAGTAGTGTGGTTGAAGTTGAACTTGTAGTTGAAGCGTAGTTTTAGTGTAGATGAAGTTGTAGTCGCAGTTGTAGTTGCAGCTGTAGCTGCAGTTGCAGTTGTAGTGTAGTTGTAGTACGTCTTGCAGTTGTGGTGGTACTGCAGTTGTAGTTGCAGTGGCACTTACAATTGTAGTTGTAGTAATCGTAGTTGAGGTTGTATTTGTAGTTGAAGTGTAGTTGAAATTGTATTTGTGGTTGTAGCTGTAGTTCTTGTAGTTGAAGTGTAGCTGAAGTGCAGTTGAAGTTGTACTTGTAGTGGTAGTGTAGTTGCAGTTGCAGTTGTAGTTGTAGTTGCTGTTGTAGTTGTAGTTGTAGTGTGGTGTAGTGCAGTTGCAGTTGTCTATCTATCTGTTGATATATATATATATATATGTTTTTCTATGTGTCTTTCTGTTTATCTATCTGTCTATCTATCTATTTGTCGTTCTGTTTTTCTATCGGTCTATCGGTCTATCCATCTATCTATCTATCTATCTATCTATCTATCTATCTATCTATCTATCTATCTATCTATCTATCTATCTATCTATCTATCTTATCTATCTAATCTATCTATCTATCTATCTATCTATCTATGTGCAAGTTTGAAAACGAAGCTAGTCTGCGAGACTTCCTCAATTTTTAAACTTGAGAACGTCAAAAACACAGCAATCCTGCGAGACGTCCTCAACTTTTGAACTTGACAACGTCAAAAACGCAGCTATTCTGCGAGACTTCCTCAATTTTTCAAGTTGACAACGTCAAAAACGAAGCAATTCTGCGAGACTTCCTTCAAAAATGGCAGAGCTGGCGGCCTCGCACCAATGCGTTTTGCGATTTTTCCACTCCACTTGTCTAAAGTATTGCGCCTCCCACGAACAAAGTGACGCCAGGCCATACGAAGTGCTGCACTTGTCACGCAAAATCATCTTCCCAAAACTGAAGATCTGACGCTCCAAAATGCAACCCTCTCAGGAAATCAGCGCCCGGACCTCCTAACAGCTCTGACTTGTACTGCGCCTGCCACGGAAAATGCATCTTTGCAGATCTTCTTCAAGTGTCCCACGCCTGCCATCGTTTTTGGAAATGCTACAAATCCCTAACGTTTTGCTCACTTTTGACAAGGTGCCCAGTCCCTTGCGCCTGCCACGCGAAACGACATCTGAACGTCCAAAAGTGGTCCGAACATGTGGTGTTTTTACCATTTTGACCTCGAAATGTGCTTCGCGCCAGAACAGCGTGCACTTTTTCGACATCTCATCTTCCAAAAGCTGTCTGAACGTGGTGTGCTTTGTACATTTTGACTTCGAAACGTGCTTCGCGCCACAACGGCACGCACTTTTTCGAAATCTCACCTTCCAAAAGTGCTCCGAATGTCAAATGTTTTGTACATTTTGACTTCGAAA